TGGCTTATCCCTGTGTCTCCGCAGAAGTAAGGTGATCTCTGCGGCTTTTATCTGAGCTTTTTGCTGAACGGGTTCCAACTCGGTGACAGAGTTGTAGTCACCTCGTTCAGAGTCGAAAACTATACCGAGTTCATCAGCTGCTCGAGCAGCTGCCCTAAAGAAAAATGCTCCGATTCCTGCTCTCATGGTCACGGACCATGCAGAGAAGAGGATCCGAACTCCTGACGACTTTACAGGCTGTATCCAGCACCATTCTGTCATGTAGACACCCCATTATTATTATTATTATTATAACAGACGCATTCATATAACAAGAGTTATTGATGAAGTGAACAAAGCAGCAAAAATGAAAAATAATACAAAACATTTTTTACTATTGTTACTAATTTTTTTTTATAAGTTGTTGTTTTATTTTATGTTTGAATACTTGTTCATTGGTTGTAATTTAAAAAAATACTTTTATTATTTACCGTTTTTACAAATCACAAATATTGCATAAATGTAACTGAGAATATAATATGAGGTATTAATTAATGAGGCAACACATAAAATGTTCATGGTTAAAAAATGGCAATCCGGTTTAGATAAAAGTTGTGAATTCTTTTTGTTTTTCTACCGGTTTCAAGAAAGTTGTGAATAACGATTTACATGAATGATTATCAACAGATTCTATCTGAATAGAACAGAAAATAGTAAGGAAATAGTCAAAAGATGAAAGAGAAAATCAGTCCTAGAGAAAAGTAAAGGAATGAAGAGCGTTAAAAGTGCTGAACTAGATTTACTCAGCAAATACTCTTTTTTCTAGGTAGATCCAAAAGTGAACTATCGAAGTTATTGGTAGGTACTATTGTAGCTAATAAACTGAAATTGACATCATTTCTGGACCCAACACATCACAATTACGAAAACACCAGGCCTGAATTCTTCAGCGCCAAAATATGTGTAGCCATGTGTAATCGACTAGCCCTGTTTTCCTAAAACGTTTACACAATTCCTAATAATGGCTCTGTTTCCATATACTGACGTATTTGATCAGATAATAGTCCTACTTTTTTGTTTGCTTTGAAGTAAAGTGATCATTGATAAGGAAAATAACATCAGCAACTTAAATGGAATAATGACTATCATAAAATAAACAACCGTACCATGTAATCTGATTTAATCGTTGAATGTTACAATAATCTACAAATTTTTGCGACACATAGACTACAGGTAGATACTACAAATATATAGTATCATGAATATACTGACCCGTCACTTGATGAAAATCAATTACACCGTCCATGTTAAAAATAATACAGCTCACCAGAGTATGATCCACAAACTCATCAGTATTTCGGTGTCCACAGAAAATTTTATTGAGAAATAAAATTTGATAAAACAAATTACAATGAAAATAACAATCTGAACATTATTCATCATAATTTCGACCAAACAGGCTGAAAACCTGTGTTGCTAATTTTATATTTATTTTTTTGAAGTTATTTGGGAATAAATGAAGGAGAGCAAGAGAGAGAGAGAGAGAGAGAATATACTTTATTAATCTATTATACAGTGTTTATGTAAAAACAAAATGCATTTAAATTGATCAATTTTCACTCAATTTATAAAATCAGTTTGTATATATATATATATATAAACATAAAGTCATACAGGATACTGGAAAATAATAAATGAGTGAAAACATTTTATTTTGTTTGTATGTATAAAAACATATAAGTCGTACAGGATGCTGGTAAATAACAGAAAAATATGATTATTATCATTATAAAATTGTTGTATAATATAGTATGGTCTATCACTTAAAAAACCTTTCACAGCTTTCCTGAAGCATTGTAAATACTTTATTTCTGCTACATTCTTCAGCAAGTGGTTGAACATCTCACAACCATTATAGAGAATGGAATCCTTCAATGAAGAAACTTAATGTCGTTGGATTGCCACGTCACATAATGGGTTGGTGAGGCTTGCAATTTTCTTAAATAAACAAACTGTTTCCATTATAAAGAGAGAACTCACTGTTAGGATTCCATGAGTGGTAAAGAGTAATCTACAAGGGCCTGTACTTTTTGATTTGCACATATATCTTACGGCTCATTTTTGCAAAATCAAAATATTTTGTAGTAGATAACCACTACATACGCCCCAAAAAGGAATTCCATATATCAGGTGAGATTCCGCCAGAGCAAAATATACACACTGCTGTTGAACCAAGTTCATTTGTGAATACCCCGACTGCATAACAACCAGACGACACTTTATTACACAAGGCATAAATATGGCCTTCAATTTTTAGTAGTCTATCGATATGTACTTCTAAAAATTTTGAGCTACTTTGCCAAAAAAATGGTAGTATCGTCTACAAATAGTGTGAATTTTCCTGAGATATGTGTACTTGTTAAATCGTTGAGGTAGATGAGAAACAATTTTGGCCCCAGTATTGAACCTTGAGGCACACCACTACGCATTTTCCTAATTTCTGAGCGATGGGTTGTTTCCACTATCTGACTACGATCTGAGAACTTAACATTTACCGACATTTTTCGATATAAAGGTACTCTTGTCTAAAAATCAAATTTTTGAAGGTTTCCCATATATTACGTGTGTTTTACTATATTCTGCTGATGTATTTTCGATTTTAGAAGTATGCACACACCACTAATACATAAGTTTCCAATATGGTACATTTTTTGGGGTTGACACTGTACATCTTGCGTTTTATAAAAAGGAAAAGTTTTTTACATTTTTGAAATCATGTCGTCAATATGGGTTTAATATAGCATAATCTTGGATTACTCATAACTCTCAACTTCAAATATTTGTTTATTTTCTGTCTGCAATAATACAAAAATATAATATTCTCTTTCTAACGTTTTCAATTCAACAACAGAGATACATATTTCCATTGATAACAAAAATACGTAGTTTCAACTCAAAGAAAATGATCTGATAAAAGACATATTTATGATGTTCAATGTTCAACCAAAGAAGAGATATATGACGATGAAATTTTTTGTCCTCCTTCATCGAGTATTTCACCTTCCACAGTTTTAACGGTTCGAAGGCTAAAATCTGCCTCGTTTNTATTTATGAAAATTCATTGTTGCAGAGCCCTGCAGAAGAATTTAATTAAATTAGAAGTTATTGGATCACTAAACTAGTTAATTGAATCTAATGATGTTCGTATTTTTCATCCGTTGATTCGTTTCATTTCCAGTGTTCCTTCACGAGAAACGACGTTCTTTCAGTAACTATCAAAATCATTACTGAGATCATCTCGTTAGGAATTCAGTTGTTCAGAACTGTTTTGATCTGTATACAGACGTCTCACGCAAACCAACATATGATCTACACTTTGCAAAATAAAATACTGTGAATTTTGCAAAAAACTACTCTGATTCCCGTCGAAATGCGACCACTGTGTACAATAACAGCGAAAGCACATCCAGAGAGTAGTCATACGTACAGCATTATCTATTTAGCGCCGAACAACATTTATATTCATTATGAACACCGACGTGATGCCCGGATTATTACACCGACGTCGAAGGCGACGTACTCAATACTCAGACCGCCGCTCAAAAGTTAGACCGTCGCCCACGGACTATTTGTCGGTCCATCATCTGAGAGAACAAAGAGCGAATGCGCTAGCCAATGTCACTTGTATAAAGCGAGTAAACGCGGGCAGATTTCGTCATTCAAAAAAGACGACGTGACATATCGGCGAAACAGTTCTTGACGGTGGTTTATTTGCTCGAAACGCATCGCAGGTGACTTGATTTGTTCGCGACAGCAGGTGACTTGATACTACGAATAAACTGTATTCGTTTTTGACCGGTGATTTTTTTACTCGAAACAAGATGAAAGTGTTGATAACTGTTTTGGCTGGTTTTGTTTTTGTTTTTGGATTTCAGCAGGTGATAGCGCGGCCCAACAACAGGTAAAAAAAATTAAATACGAGGGGTGGAGGAATTGTTCTTAAATTCACTAGAACTGTTTTGGACTATTTTTGTTGATGTTAAACATGTTTTTGAAATACTTTATATGCATGAGATATAAGAACTGTAGGTTACTGTAATTAAATCACTGAACATACTGAAATTTCAAGTAATCTAGTGTTTCAACAGTCCGATCAGGGAAATTTTATAGAAATTCTCTTTTCAGATATTTCATTTCGTTTTTGAAATAATATATTGATATTATTCACTGAATGAACTATTTATCCCGTCAACTTTTTATTTAGATTGTAAATGTCGAATGAGGTGTGGAAACGAAACAAAAAACTGCATTCGTTATAGTTTCTTTCGAAAATTCATGACGTTTCCAAACATTATTTGCGTGAATAGTCAATTCACTTTCAGTTACTCTCGGACTTAGATGGGAAATATTGAAATTCATAGATTGTATGTTCACTTATACGAAGGGAACTCATGAAAAATCATTTGAAAAATGAAAAAGAGCTTCAACAATACGTGTTTTTTTAACATAATTATTTTAAGTGGCAAAGAAGCTCCTTCTTTGATTTATTATATATTAGTTAGTAATGAGCGACCAAAATTCAAAAATTGTTTTGCATACTCGACGTGAGATCTGATGGAAAACAATTCATGAAAATAATGTTCCACAGTTTATGTGTTATTGGTGAAATTATAAAAAAACTTCGAAATTTTTGGTACATCAATCATATAGCACCAGCATAAAATTGTTCTGATCTTGAATGAACATTTGTATGAGAAATGTTATGAGGAAATTGTGGTACATTGTAGAAGTAGAGGTAGAAGTAGAAGTAGAAGTAACAATCTGCAGTTTTTCAACATTCGGATTAGTATAAATGATTTAATTTTCTGAAAAATTACACAAAAGAATCTGTTAAAACCTGTTTTCCGTTAACCAGCTGTCGCTCCCCTACAAACAACAACCCTCAGAAGTTGAAACTTGTGCAAGCTAAGGACTAACGAGCTTTTTTTTTAGTCCCTTGGGAGCTGTCTGACTTGTCCATTTAGTCCATGCCTCCAGAAAATACTGCAGCCTCTTGGGCTTATTGCGTTCATTCTCCCATCTTCTTATGACACACATTCCATCACTCTCGTTCCCTGAACAAGTTTGTACAGGTTCCGTGTTGGATATTCGTCATATTCTTCCGGACGTAATTTTGTACGTCCATATATTGCCTGCCTCCTGTGATTCAGTGTCTCACATTCGCATAAGATGTGTAGAGCTCTTTCTATGCCTTCGTTGCATGATCTCCAGCTGAGGTCTCCGTTGTAAAGCCCCATTTTATTCAGGTGTTCTCTAAGCGGACAATAACCGGTTACTAACCCTGTAATTATTCTGAGCCGGTCCNGCCCCATTTTATTCAGGTGCCCGGTTAGTGACCCTGTAATTATTCTGAGCCGATCCCTACTATGTGTAGAGCTCTTTCTATGCCTTCGTTGCATGATCTGCAGCTGAGGTCTCCATTGTAAAGCCCCATTTTATTCAGGTGCCCGGTTAGTGACCCTGTAATTATTCTGAGCCGATCCCTACTATGTGTAGAGCACTTTCTATGCCTTCGTTGCATGATCTGCAGCTGAGGTCTCCGTTGTAGAACCCCATTTTATTCAGGTGCCCAGTTAGTGACCCTGTAATTATTCTGAGCCGATTCCTACTATGTGTAGAGCTCTTTCTATGCCTTCGTTGCATAATCTACAGCTGAGGTCTCCGTTGTAAAGCCCAATTTTATTCAGGTGCCCGGTTAGTGACCCTGTAATTATTCTGAGCCGATCCCTACTATGTGTAGAGCTCTTTCTATGCCTTCGTTGCATTTTTCGTACCAATGATTTTGGTACCCCCAGAGCTAGTTCTGGACCTATATATGAAGTTGATGATCCGCGTCTAGCGCATTCATCAGCTGTATCATTACCTGTGATTCCTGAATACCCTGGCACCCAGTACAGAGTTAATTTGTTCCTGTTTGCAAGTTCATTCATTTCTTCATGGCATTCCCATCTCCAACGTATGATTCCTAGCATTTTTCATTCAGGCATCACTCGATAACAATTTCCATTGAAAAAATCAGATCTGAAGCTTTTACCATAGTTTCAGGCCACAACTTGTTCACCTGATAAATAAATTTCACTTGTTTTTATGTTTTTGCGAAAAGGTATCTACCTTTTTGCGGTGGTAATTTATGCATTGCTCCTGGAATAATTATGGAGATAGATTAATCTTCGGAACAGAAAAGTTTTCACTTTTTACTTCTCCTTCTTCATCTTGTAACGTTATCCACATTGGTGCTGAAGAGGAAATGAGACAAGTGTCTTATTCCGAAACATCTATGTCCACCAGTGAGGATTACATTGTTAAATGTGAGTGACATTTAACGTCTTTCATTTACTACATTGTTTAGCAATCCTTCGAATGATATCTGATTCAATTCCATCACGAATGTTCGGAATACAAAATGAATAGATAAAATTGTTTTGAATTGTTTCGAAAGGATATTTCCTTCCGGCTTGTGTCTGAAATTTACTTCTTTACATTACCTACACATCTTTGTGAGGAGTTCATTTTGATATCAATTTTATTCTTCCTTTTTTTGGAAGATTTTCACGTATAGAGATGGAGAGGTAGAAAGCCAAAACCTTACTTTCGCCAAAATCAAGTTCGCCTACAAATATACCGCTTTAGGTAGATCTCCATTTGATTTTTTAATGAACGCATATTGAAATACTAACGCAAAGAGTTATGCACAATATAATATCCAATCCAGAGAGAAATATGTTTTTGAACAATACATTTTTCATGAACTTTGCCGACATAATGAATGAAAATTCATTATGAACGATTCAAAGACACTTCATTGTCGGATTTCAATGAAGTTTTGATTGCCTAATGAATCTTTAGGCATTGGAGAAAACGCATCTAGTGTAGCAAAAAAAATTGTTTGGGTTCAATAAAATATTCATGCGGAATTTCTACCATTGAATTTTTTTGGTTTGGTCGATGAAAATCTATATAAAAAATTTGACAATCTAAAACTGAAGTAAACAAGAAATAGTGTCCTCTATCAATGAATGGAATTGAATTTACCTAAACTAATTAAATGGTCACTGAATATTAGGGAAAAAAATGAACTTCCACATCTAGTTACTGACATTAGAAAACAAATTCAATCGTGGTAAAGTGAACAATTCTATACAGGGTGTAACTGAATAAGTGTAAAACATTTAAGGAGGTGATTTCTCATCGAAAAAAAGATAAGATCTTTCATATAAAGAAACTTCATTGGATCATCCCTTGTTAAGATACAACCCCTTAAAGGGGGTACATAAAATTTGTATAACAATTTTTCTCACAAGCACTGGATAAGTTACAATAT